GGTGGGCAGGGTGGCCAGACTTAGCAAATGAAAACACAGGGTACCTCTTTAGATTTGAAATACTCCTTTAGTATATCTCAGAGGGATAAAGCATCTTCCATGGACTAGGCCCCAACTGGGTTTGAATATTCCACTTCACAGGATCCCATGGCCTGGTGCCTTTGGAGAAACTGGTCAAACATGAAGGTTAGAGTCTAGTGTGGCTTGGGAGAGAGAAAAACCAGCTTCAAAAATCCACTTTGGCTGCACACTGTGACCGTGAAATGGTGATTCCTTTGAGTGCCCCCAAATCTCGTCAGATGTTCCCACTGCACTGATCAAAATGCCTTTGGCATCCTGCATATCACAGATGGGTGTCATGTTGCATGGACATGGAGCCAGACTTAGGTTCTGGCCCTTTTCATGGGACTTAAGAAAAGGATAGGGGTATGTTCAGCATTCATCCCTTCTTCTGCTGTCCTCACTGGCCATGAGTGCCAGATAAGATGTAAAGGTTAGATGATTCTGGTCCTGTCACAGGAGCTAAGCCAACATGGCCACGGGCTCTGTCTTTGTGGAAAGCCTATTCTGGCCCTGAATTCCACAGACAAGGCACATAGTAGTACCGACAGCCAGGCCAAACCTTGGTGTGGCCTGGGCCAATCCAGGATACAGCCAGGGAAGGGAAAATGATCCCTAGAAAAATAATCTCCTTAAATCAAGGTTTTAGGCCTGAGGAGAACTGGATGCTGAGAGAGAAACAGATCCTGTAAAAGAGAGATTAGGGTGTGGCCCAGCTGGAACTTCCCTCTGTCCTGGCCAGAGGACCTAGGAACTTTCCGGAGGCAGGAAAAACTTCCTCTGGAGATGATGTCCCTTTTCCGGAGGAGGGGGTGGCTCAGGAAACAGTGTGGTGGCCAGTGGGCAGGGGGTTAAGGGCACTCAGATTGGGGATCTAGCTGCTTCTGAGGCATCTGCCAGGGTTTGGTTTGTGGTTGGGGGCAAGTTGAGCCACTGCCCTATCCAATGTCAGAAGTGCCCTGGCCATTGGGCATCTGCTATTGAATTCTATATTATAGGTGGGGTCAGTGACCCCATCTTTGTTATTGCTACCATCTGACCCACGTGCCTGCTGTCATTCAGTCCTACCTACACATTGCTGGCAGCCCCACCCCCAGCCCCAGCCCCAGCTGCTTGGCCTTGAAGTCGTGAGCACAGCATTCATCAGATCCCCAATTGGTGGCCATGTAGCAGATGTTTGAAAAGTTGTCCAGCTCTGGCTGACCTGGCCAAGGGAGGTTTCCCCTCTGTCCTGTCATAGCATCCCCCACATGCCTCTTGGATGTCCCTCCTACAGTGCACTACTCCCCTCTCATAGGCAAGACAGTGCTCACTCCTATTTGAGGCCCATTGCTGGTAGAATTTCCACTCCCTGAGGGCAGGGAGTTTGTCTGATATGATTTCTGCTGTGTCCCTAGCACCCCATAAGTGCCCAATAAATATTTGGTGAGTAAATGAGGAAATGGTGTAGCCCCGACCTAGACAACCCTGGAAATCAGCATCTCCCACCCCCAAAGTTATAGGTGGCCCTGAAGTTCAGGTCATATTGTACATCCCTGCAGATGAGGACCGCCTAGCCACCCTGGGGTCAGGAGATGTCCTGCTCTCCCTCCCTGGTGGGGACATTGCCGGGGCCACCTGCGCCCCCTGGTGGCCAAGCACAGAACGGCCACTTTGGGGACAGCAACTGGTGAAATAAATAAGTGAAGACAGAGTGGGAGATATACTTCCGGTTCACGATGACAGTTCTGAGCAGTTTTGTACTTTAACCCTTTAGAGAGCACTTGTGCTCAGAAATCTGTAGTTGTGGGACTTCTTCAGGGCCACACAAACACTTGCTCTGGACAGAGTGCACCTAACTGCAGATGGAGTTTGAACACATTGCACAGATACTAAATGCAAGAACAGGGGTTAGAAATGACACTTAGAACAACGCTAATATTCCCTGGCTGGTGTGGCTCCATGGATTGAGCACCGGCCTGCAAATGAAAGGACAGCCGGTTCAATTCCCAGTCAGGACACATGCTTGGGTTGCAGATCAGGTCCCAAGAAGGAGGCCCATGACAGGCAACCACACATAAATGTTCCTCTCCTTCACTTTCCCCCTCCCTTCCCCGTTCTCTAAAAATAAAATAAAATCTTAAAAGAGAGTGATAACAAAGCTAACACACACTGACAAAGTGGCCCATCTCCAGAGAGCTCATTTCAGAGAGCTTTTCAGCATATGGAACAGGGAAGGAGCAAACAGGCTCTGAGCTGTTTATTGTTTTTTAAAAAATTTATTTGAGAGAGAGAGGAAGAAAGAGAGAAACACTGATTTGTCGTTCTACTTATTTATGCATTCATTGGTTCCTTTTTGTATGTGCCCTGACCCAGGATCAAACCCACAACCTTGGTGTATCAGGAAAATGATGTAACCGGCTGAGTTACCAGGCTAGGGCTTCAGGACTGTCATGTGTTTTAAAATTACATTTGTTGTAGCAGCTGTAATATGTCAAGAGTATCATATTCCTTAGGAAGTATCAGTGTAATAACCCCTTTAACTATATTCTGGTCCTTGAAAAAAGTATCACAAATATCAAAGTACTAAGAAAATAAAATTCACATAGAAATGAATCTTTTCCTTCCCCAACTAATTATATTGTAATCTCACTGTATGAGCATGAATTCGGGGTGAAATAAACATTGCAATTTGTCAGCAATCATCCTCCTTCTCCTTGGTCCCCAGAGCTTCCTCCTGGGGTGGGTGGGGATGGATAGTGAGGCCTCCATAGCCCTCCAGGTCCAGCTCCCTTATTCCAGGTGGGGTAGTTACACCACCCTTTGACCCCAGCAGCACCTCTCTTCCCATATCCAGTCCACAGCTCTGAGCCAACTGGGTTGTGTTGGGAGAAAAGGCTGGGTGAGGTTCAAATCGAGGAAGTGATGTCAGGTGCCAAACAGACTGAACCACAGAGGCAGGACTTCCTGCCTCTCCCTGAACAGCTTTCTTTGCAAGAATATATAAACCCAAAGCTCACAGAGGCTAAGGGATGAAATCAATACACATCAGGGACTTTTTCAATTCCCAAACCCCTTGAAGCCCATCAGCCTTGGGGTATGAGTGAAGTCCAGGCTCCCCTGCAGGACAATAGGGTCCTGTTGGTATTTCTGAGGGGAAGCTAGCTGCAGAGGATGGATATGCTAACACCTGTGGGCAGCTGTGACAGGTATTCACATGGCATCTGCTGCATCTGCCTGGATTTGGGTCGTGTGCTCTTCCTCTGGGCTGCCCCACAGACCCACTCACTATGTGCCAGTCCTGAGCCAGGACATTCTGGTGATGCTTAGCAGCTCCAGGGAGAGTGTCCCTGGCAGGGAGACAGATGAGAAGGAGCACAGAACATTCCCGGACCATTCAAGGAGGAGGCTGGACAATATCCAGGTGGGAAACATGACTGGGGGTAGGGGACAAGTGGCAGAGATGGCCAGGAATGGGCAGAGTGACCAGTAAGTTTCTAAGGATTTAGATGTGTGTGTGTACCACTAATGACCTCTGTCCTGACCATTTGACGTTCAGGCCGGTTGCCCTGGCCACTCACCAGACTCTATGAGGTCCACTTCTATCCTCCCAGTCCCACCTGTTGTCCACTTTTCAAATGTGTCCTGCAGATACTGAGGATTTCTTCGATCAGTGTCCCTTTGTGTTGACCAATTCTGTCAAAAGGAACCTGTTCAGAATTACTGGAGAAGTTCTCAAAACTGTTATGACCAGAGCAGCTATTCTTCGTTTCACCAGCATCTGGTGTTTTAAGGAAACTTCTCCGGCAACTGCTGGTTAATTGGAAGAGGTTCTGTCTGCTCAGCCAGGCATTCCAGGACACTGTCCTGTTGCTCCCACCTGAGCCCAACTGCTCTGCCTGCCTTGGCTACAACATGCAGATTTTTTGACATGTGGGTCCAACCTGTCTGGCTCTTCATCATCTATTACATCTCCTGCCTCAGGCCTTTCCCTGCATCTCGGCTTCATGGTTCCTGCCCATGTCCTTCACATACGTCCCCCCACATGTATCTCTTCTACATCACGAGCAAAGAGGAACCAGACTGTCTTGTCACACTGCTCTCAGCAGACCTGGCTGGCAACAGGCTCTGCAATGTTGCCTGTGAGGCCTGCTTGAGGATGTGAGGTGGTTGCTAGGAGAGTTTCCAGAGGAATATCCCCTTCAGCTGGGTTCCTGAAGCTGCATGGACAACAGGAGTGAGATGGCTGTGGGGGATCTCTGTGGGGCAAGTCACTCAATTCCATGTGTGGGTGAGGTTCCCAGGTCCCTGGGAGGCTGCCAGGAGCCCCACCTTGGGTGGCCAGGGCTGAGGTGACTATGTTGAGAACCACTTCCCATAACAATGGCCATCTCACGACCAGCCTGCTGGTTCCACTGTGGGCTTGCAGCATTGTTCTGGTTGAGCAAGCTCAGAACACACTTCCTACACAGCCGTTGTGAGGCTTACAGTGAAGGAAATGACATCCAGCTGACAGGCAAAAGTGCACCCCAAGTGAAAAAGCTGCCTGAGTCAAGGCTGGCAGGGTTGGGGTAGAGGAAGCCAGACCTCAAAGGTAGAGGTAGCAGTGTCACCATGCTGGGGTGGATTGCCACACATTCAGTGGCCAGCATTTTGGTTCCAGAACCATGGCACAAAGTACTCAGATGTGCAACCAGGAGCAAGCAATTGGGCATCACCTTGGGGTGCAGGAATGAGAATTACTTGACGGATTTGATGCAGCATGGGCGGCAGCCCAAGCACCATTCCTGCATGTTAAAACCACAGCACAACCCAAGAAAATTGAAAACACATGTTCAAATAAAAATGTGCGGCACACCCACAGCAGCACTGCTCACACTCACCACAAGGGGGAAGCAGCCAAACACCTATAGATGGATGAACAAAATGTCCATCCACACAATGGAGTAATACTTAGCCATAAAAAGGAATGAAGTACTGGTACATTGCAACATGAATAAACCTGGAAAAGATGCTAAGTCAGGGAAGCCAGACACAAAAGGACATATAGTATATGATCCTATCTACATGAAATGTCCAGAACAGGCAAATCCAATGCAGAAAGCCAATTGATTAGTGGTGGTCAGGGGTAGGAGAGAAGGAATAGGGATTGATTATTAATGGAATGGAGGGTCTCTTTGGGATGATGGAAAAGTTCTAAGACTATAAAGAGGTACTGTTGTACAACATTGTGAATGTATTTAATACCATTGAATTCTATACATTAAATGGTTGATTTTGTGTCTTTCACTTCAGAAAGAAAAAATCTGGGAAACACCCCCCCCAAAAAAAAAAGCCCACAAAAACTCAGGGTGTATGAAGTCTTGTTGAGAGCCAGGGAGGAACAGACAGTGCTTCAGGCCTTGTGTGGGATGTCTTAGGGGTTCCTTGCCTTCCAAGCAGGGCTGGACCAGAGGAACGTCGTCAACAGAGAGGAAGACTCAAGTTACCACCAGGTCTTTCAAGCTCTGCATCCTCATGCCTTGTTGGTTAGCTCAAATCCCTGCAGCCCCACTGGTTGGGTGGGGCAGGAAAGAGCTCATCAGGTTTGCAACAGGAGAGGAAGAGAAGGCAGAACAAGACTATAGCAAGTGATAGCTATTGCAAGTGTTTTTACTTCAAATACAAAGGAAAAATATCCACAAACAAGGAGCTATCTTCTATGGTTATGTCTTTTAAACAATGTTTTGCATTTGTAAGTTTTTCCTGATTAAAAGCACCAGCTGAAATTACAGGCTGCTAAAATCATATTACAAACCCGTTAAAAGACATTGTGCCAAACATACTTAATTAAAAACCTTTTAACAAAACAAAGAGACAATGTAACCACAAGCATATCCATCATGCCAGGATGCCTTTACCCAATTTCCTTGCCTGTGCTCCCAGTTAGTGGGATAGGGAATGCTTACCCCCAGGGAGAGGACCCTCCCCATGACTGTGGGCATCTGCAGGCCAGGGTCTTCTGCTAACAGGGAGAGGCGGGAAGAGCACACAAGGGTCTGACCAGCTTTCAGCGACTGACCTGCCAACAGGAACCTTGCTACTACTTCATGCCCTGTAATTTGAAGAGTTTGGAGTTACCTGCTTTTTCTAAACACTTATCAGTATGACACTTATGCAACATCTCCCTGTTGGCTTGCTTGCTGCCTATTTTAAATTCTTATGAGAAATTATTAAGTACTGAATGTGGACTCACAGGAAGGTATGTATGGCAGCTTGATGTAATTGGTAGATGCTGTGGTAAAAGGGAGGTTCAAAACCATACACATGGTTTGGTTTTCATAAAGCTAAAGTGGAATATTAAATATTGAGTACTAAATTTTTTAATGTAAACTTAAGAACTTATCCTAACCATACACATACACAGATAACAGAATGGTCACTAAAAGCACTTTAACATCAGGACAGACGTTAAGCTTTGAGGTTCTTATTTCAACTGCTCTACATACAAAATGCCCTAGAAGCAAAGAAAGGCTTAAATAAATACACAAACATAATGTGCAGTGTGATTGAAGTAATGTGGGTCTGGAGAGGTCAGACAGTGAGATTCAGGCTGGTAGATATAGTTTACAGCAAGATGGGAGTGCTATCCCTTGGTATAGAGGGAAAGGCCTTGGGGGCACCCTTGATGGAAGAGGAAGACTCAATGGTGACAGCTTGTGGCTGGGCTTACACCCTCCTCCACAGTCCTTACAAGACCAGGGTGTCAGCAGATGCAGCAGCCCCAGATATGGCCAGATTCTCCTGGGTGACACAGGATGGTGGGTCCTGTCCTGACTTGTGGCTCACTTGTGTGCCTGTCACTGGCCCCTAAGTGGGCAGCAGGGCCTGCCTCAGGCCTGGTGAGGGCAGTGGCCCAGCACAGGGTAATCTGCTGACAATCCTGCTTTGACTAAGGCACACCCAAGGTCAGGGTGCAAGGAGCTACCTGAATGATCCCAGACCCCAGCGATCCCTCCATCACAGACACTGTGGCCTCGAGAAGCAGCCTTCACAGTGCAAGGTTAACAAGACTCAAACCAACAAGCCACGCTGACTAGCAAAACCACTCATCATTCCTTGGCAGGGGGCCGCTCCCAGCCACCAGAAGCTGGAGGGGGCAGCTGCCTCAACTGCCCCCAAGCCCACCATCACCACTGGGACATCTCTAGATTATCCAAGAGCAACACAGAACTGAGTATGCTGCCTGGACGCGGCAGAAGCTCCTGGGGTCCAGCTCAGGAAAAGGTTTCAATGCTGTCGAGACCCAAGGCAGGTTAAGTAGGTCTTCTCCCTCCCGAGGGCAGGGTGGGCTAAGCTCCAGTCATCTGCAAACATCCTCTGCAAAGGAAGCCAAAGAGCTGTCCCAGCCCCTTTGGTTGGCACCCTGAGTTGGGCTGAGGAGGGTCCTCTCTCCTGCTTCCTACCCCACAATATGGATGCTGACCAAGGAAGGCAGCTGGTGTAAACACAGGAGTCTCAGCTCTGGCTTTGATAATCACATGTACACACACAATGCACACCTGTGCCTACAGCACACACACACACTCTGTGCCCACATGTGCGTGAGGGCACACACACACACACGTGTCTACTGCACATGCACACACACACATGCATACCCATGTCTACAGCAATGTGTATCCCCATGGCCAGACAGTGATCTAGTCAAGGTGCAGATGTTTGGAAGGCGAGTTCCTGGGCCCCCAGGGTCCCTGACCAGAAGCCCTAGCTATCAGGATGGACACTGCAGATAAAGGCAAGCTGAGAAAAGCATAGTAGGACATGCATTTTTGTCCCTGATGTGCACTATCACTTCTTTACAATTTTGGGCCAAAACTGTTATCTCGCCTCTGAGCTCTAGAAGCTGCCATGAGATCAGAGGAAACACTCCAACCTGGCACAGAAGCCCGGGCAATGGAAGTCACGTGGCAACGCTCCAGCATTGTCACCCACCCTGCCACTCTGCATCCAGACAAGGTCCCAGGAAGGTGACTTGGATGTGTAGCAGGACTGGCAGTTCAAGTCCACTTTAAAAGATGGCTCTGGAAAGTCAGCTCCAACATTCCATCTATATGCCTCAGCACCAGGGTCCTGGTTCACAGTGGTAATGCTGCCCAGCCCTTCCTGGGAGGGTAGGAATTGGCCCTGCACACTCCCCTGGGACTTGGAAGCTCTAGAGACACTTGGGAAAGAAGCCTGGGGACACCATGCCAGCACACCTCAGAGGAAAGCACAAGTGCCATCTGGGTGGAAGTCAGGGACACACTGGGCCCCCCGGAGGCCTTGAGAAGCTGGGTGGCCCCCTCCAGGGGCCTCACAGGAGGCTGGCCAGGCTGGTATTGGGTCCATTCTGAGCTTGAAACTGCACAGGCGGCGGGCCATCTGTCCACTGCGGGAGGAGAAACACACAGGTGAGGTCCTTCCTAGGTAGGAGCAGGGTGCGCTGGGCCAAGTTTCTGCACATGCAATGCTGCCCTCCTCAGATATGTCATCCAGCCAGGGCCTTCTGTGCCCCCCACCAGAATCAGATGAACACCAGGAAGGACCCTAAATCACCTGCTCAAGTGATTGGTGCCATTTCCCACAACTGAGGGGCTCCTGAGACTAGGCTAAGTTAGGAATTGCTGGAGAAATGTAGAAAGATAACAGGCAAGTGTGTACTTCCTCCTCAGGGAGTGTGTTCCACACCCTGGAGGAGTACAGGCCAGATAAGCCAGCCCCAAGGAGTCAACCAATACCCATGTTCTGTTTCCTCCATTCTTGTGCCCATACCGTGATAAGGTTATGCTCGGGGAGGCTGCAGGCCTCAATGTGGTCCTGGAGCAGCTGCTGCGAGAAGTTCTGGTGCATCTGGGCAGCTTCATGGGCATCTATGGCATTCCCACAGGCTTTGTTCAAGTCTGAGGGTGGAACATACATGGGGTGAGCCTGACTTGCCCTGCCACCACTCCCATGCCCTTCCCTAGGATATAGGTAGAGCCCTATCTCAGGGTCAGCCAAGCCCACCTGCTAGCAGCCTTCACATGTGCCCTTCTGAGCTGTCCTTGGATATGGGTGAGCAACGGGGCTGACTGGGGCAGACAGAGGCTGGTTGGGCAGTAAAGGCCCCTGGGCACACAAGAGCTCACTAGTACAGGGTACTTAATACCCACTTCTGAAGCAGGAGAACTGAATAAGCCCACAAAACCTACTGCAAACAGGAGCAGCCTGCCCCTGTGCCTCCTCCTCAGGGCCAAGGGCAAATATCTGCACATGAGGGAGGAGCAGTAACAGCACTGCTACCTGATGAGCACCCACCCTGTGCCCAGAGCATCCCGGCCAGTCCTGCCCAACAGAATGAGACTGAGCACCAGGGCTCACAGACCAAGTCTCCACCCAGATGTCAAGAATCATCCTCATAAGCCCCAGAGAGACTAAACCAGACCCTACATTGAGCTGACACCATGACTGAGCCTGGTGCCCTCAAATGGCCTCCAAGAAATATAAGAATGAGCTAGAACTGGGGTTGTAGCCTGTAGAAGCCAGTCTGAGCAAATGCCAAGCAGGGCTTATTCAGCATCTCTGATCTCTGGAGAGGTCCTGCTGCTGTACTCACCTCTCAGCAGGGCCGATGACCACAGCTGCACTGACATATCTGGGATCTTGCTAGCCAGCTGCATGGCGGGTACCACCATGTTGTTACTCTCCTGTGGACCAAGAGTAGCCAGGGGGTTGGGGAGGTAGCAGGGACAGCTCAGGCTCCATTTGCCGTACCTGGCTCAGACTATGCCCTCCTCCTGTTGCCTGGAAAACTTCTACCCTGACTTCAGAGGCCATCTCACATGCCCTTCTATGAAAGTACTCCTTGACTATGTTGGGGAAAAATAAACTGCCTTCACTCTGCAGTGTGTAGGGCATGGCTGCCACGGCAACTCTGCCTTGTCATTTTAACCAGACAAGAAGGTACTGGCAGTAGTCGGCTGTGGACCCAGCTCAGGAGCCAAGCAGAAAGGTAGATTCTGGGGTCCCAGGGCCAGGGAGGAGGCAGCAACCTGCCCAGTGGGAGTGATGAGGGTTGAATGAACACAGGAGGGAGGAGGAGTTCACTCTCATGGGAGGCCTCCTCAGACATAAGGAATGTTGGGTTCAGGGTGACACCAAGAGAATTCCCTATGCAGCGGCCTGGGGGACACTTGTCGTGTATCCAAGAGACTTACAAATCCTCAAAACCAACTTCCAAGGTCTGGCTTCACCAACCATGGGTGTACAGGCATGCCCTCTTAGAGACACAAAAGACCACCAACTCCACATCCTCCGAATGGCACATCAAAGATGAGCTCCAGGTAGACCTCAAAGCTTTTCAAGATGAACCAAGCCCTTCTAAGACCTCAGAGTGCAGAGAACAGGAAAAAACACTCTTCTCCAGGCCTAGGGCTGGGCCTCTGTCTGGAAGCCACCTGAGAAGGTATCCCTTTTGGTTCTCCCATGTCAGCTTGTGGCTGTCCCAGAGAGTCTGGTTTTGAAAATCTGTGTGATCCTACGATGTCCTGTGTGAGGCCACCTACAAACTCATCATGCCCATGGACACCCTAGCTTAGCAAGCTAGAGTAAAGCTGGCTGTGTCTGAAAGTGTCTCCCCCAGACCTGGAATTGCTTAAGGACAGGCCTGGGTCTGGGAGCCCTTGGGGCCCATGTCATCCCACACCAGCCCTGACCCACATAGGGAGCAGTACAGGTTCCCAAGCTCAGTAAGGCCCCAGGCTCACTCCAAACATAGAGCTGCAACTGAAAAGCTGCCTTGCTTACTCTGTCCTGCTCAAGGTGGCTTCTGGAGACTGCTAGATAAATGAGAGCCAGGGAGATCTAGTTCTAACCCTGAGTCTGCAGTTTGGGGCTGTGACCTTGATCTTTCCATATGGAAATAGGATAATCACAGCCACCACAATGAGACCCAGGCATGCAGCTGGTGCTTCGGCAGGGCTTCATGCTGCCCAGATACACACTGAGGCCACTGTCTCACTATGCTCAGACCTGCACTCGGAAGAACCCACAGCTCATTTTTTTTCTTTGGGGGTGGTGACTTCCTCAGCCACGGCCACCAGGACCTAAGCAGCAGGGCCCACTGGTCTCAGAAAATGCTTGTCATACAGTATGGGAGGGGATCTGCCAGGCTCATTGAAAAAGCTCATTCTTAGTCCTGGCTGGTGTAGCTCATTGGACTGAGTGAGGGCCGGAGAACCAAACAACCGCAGTTCGGTTCCCAGTCAGGGTACATGTCTGAGTTACAAGCCAGTTCCCAGCAGGGGACACACGAGAAGCAACCATACACTGATATTTCTCTCCCTCTCTCCTTCTCCTCCCCTCTAAAGATAAATAAATAAAATCTTTTTTAAAAAACCTCTAATATAGCCCTGGCTGGCATGGCTCAGTGGACTGAGTGCCGGCCTGCAAACCAAAAGGCAACTGGTTCAATTCCTAGTGAGGGCACATACGTGGGTTGCAGGCTAGGTCCCCATTTGGGAGGGTGTGAGAGGCAACTAATTGATGTATATCTTGCACATTGATGGCTCTCTCCCTCTCTCTCATTAAAAAAAACAAAACAAACCCAAAACCCTCAAATATAGTGGTGCAGGGTAAGACAAGGTATGACTATAAAACATCCCAAAAAACAAAACCTATGTGTGGACAGGGGTGGGCAGTGGAAAGAGCCAGAAGAAAGAGGACATGCAATGATTTTCAACTTTGTTTCTCAGAACTTCTATGATGAACAGTCATATTTAATAATAGGGCCAATGTTTTCTTTAAAAAATGAAAGGCAGGTATGGTCAATGGGTGAGAGCAGGTGATGATGCACACCTGATGGGGAGATTTGGAGTTGGCCAATCCCAGTGGGACGAGCTCCAGGAGCCACTTTAAGTGAGAGTGGAAACAAGGGTGACATAAGGACACCATGTGTGCTGGGCACAAACAGAACCCAAGGGATTCCGACTGAGAGGACACTTCTTTACCCCAGGTATTAACACACAGAAAGGACAACCTGCCTCAGTCCTGCCAGCTCCAGGCAGCCTCGCCAAGCACTGGGTCCATCTGCCCCACAGACCTTCCCTCCAGGGATCCCCAGGTCCCTAGTTCTGTCCCCCAAGCTGTGTGAGCCTACCCTTGCCAAACCTCATGGAGCTGAGAGGGCTAGGGGGAATCTACTGAGACAAAATCATCGAGGGACACGGGATACAAAGTGCTGCTTGGTGGTGCCCCCCACCCTCCCAAACACCACACTGGCTCCCTGCCCCTCAACCCAGCCCAGGACACTCACCCTGTGGTTCCCCAACACATAGAAAATGTGGCCCAAAAGCACCAGAGAGCAGGCCGTGAGCCGGTTCAAGTCTTCTGCATTGGACATCTTTAGAGTTTCTCGCAGAAATCGCCTACATGAGAAGAACAGATGAGGCCCCGTCAGAACGCTTTGCAGCCCTGAGCAGAACCCATTTGGCAGGGAGACAGAGAGCCTGAGCACATACTGTCAGGAGAGAAAACCACTCAGAAGGCCAGCCCAGGCTGCCCACCCTCTCCAGCACTCACTTGGCCTCATTATAGCGTCCCTGGAAGAAGGAGAAGAGTCCACGCACGTAGAAAGCTGCTGCTCGAAGGCAATGAGAGCTGTGTGAAGAGCAAAGTGTCACAACTTGGTGGGGTTTTTGTAAATGTAGCAGGCTTACAAAATGGGAGTGGGTAGTAGTGGTACAAGGTGTTGGGATAACAAGATAGATGGGGGCCCCACAGGTGCAGGCACCGCCCTAGAGAGCAGAGAATACATTAAGACAGGCAGTAAAGTGGGACCTCATGTGGAGAGACCTACCTGACAGGGAAGCTGTGGTCTGGGTTGATCCTCTCCAACAAGCTGTATAGCTGCAAAGGAAATGTCTGTTGGGATCACTCTGCCATTTCTAAACATGAGAGTTCAGCCCCAAATATGCTAGTAAACTGACCAGGGCTGCTTGAACTTTCCCGTCTGATGGCGTCGAGCCTTCACCCTGAATCCCATGCCTGAGCAACCTGCTGGTAGAGGGGGCAGGATCTTCTAGAGCAGGTGAGGGAGCTATTGGACACTGCAGAGGCTGCTTACTTCCTCACACACTCCTCTCCATGGGAATTACAGCCTCCAGTGTGAAGGATCTGGTGCAGGGTACTTGCAACCTCAACCTATCCTGCCCTATGCCAGGTGAGGGGGTCAGGGTACATCAACAACTGCCCAGTCCCAGCCTTCCTATGGTTGGAGAAGTCAGGCCTAGAGGAGTAAGATGAGCCTGCATGGGTCTGGGGCTAGAGGTGGAGTAGGGTTTTTCTGGAGGTGCAGGAAGGAACTCGACAGGCTCTGACAGGGAATGACATGACTAATATTTTAGGTCTTCTCAGGCTGTTTTTCGGAGATTGGCTTGGGGACAAGGTGGCTCCTGGTTCCCTTAAGACCCCCTCCAGGAGGCAGAACAGGTGTGAGAGTAGGGAGAAAAGACAGAGGAGAACCGAGCTCCCCCATGACCCATGGAGCCCACGCCTGGCCTCCAGATGACTCTGCCCTGCTGCTTCCTGACTGCCAAGAGGCCAAGGATGCACTGTGTGCTGCCTGTAGCCCAAAGCATCCAAACCAATCTAGAATCTGGGAGGTCAGCTAAACTATCTGTAGACAAGAGATGATGGTAGCCTGAACTAAAAGGAAGGCTATGGGGTGGAAAGGAGTGGCTGAATCTGGTACACTCTGGAATAAGAATGCCAGAGCTTGGGGGATCTCGGGGCTGAGAGGGGATCCCAGGAGTGAAGGGAATCTCAGGGTTGGGGGTGGATCTCAGGGCTGAGGGCACTTGTCCTTTGAGGACAAAACTTGTGCCCTTCAATCTCACAACCCATGTCTGGGGCATCGGGACAACCTGAGGCCCAGTGCAGATGACTGACCAAGCTGTTGTTCCTAAGAATTGAGCCACAAGCCTCACTGTCATTCTACAACAGACACCTCAGGGTAGAAGAAACTGAATTGGCTCTGAGAGATTTGACAAAGCTTGGCTTGTTTTCAATGGGAAGAAAGGTTACTTGGCCAAGAAGCGTTTATGTCCCAGATGTGGCCTCCCCTAGCCATGCTGCACTCTGAGGACAGATATGTTGAGACTGCTGAGGTGGCTGGTGCCCAGGACACCCCCCACCCTAACCCCTGAATAGAAGTTGAAAGAAAGGATACCAAACATGAAGCATGTCACCTACTACCTCTTGGTGTCTATTTCCTTCCCGTATATACACACTCGCCAGGTTGGTCACGATGAAGGCCCACAGCTCCTGGTGGTTGGTGAGCTAAAATTAGACAAGAGATGTTAGGGGCTACTCATGGCACGGGTGCCACCCAAACACTCTCTTGGTAGCTACTTGGGGTCTCCTATTTTCCTCATTTCATACACACCCCACACACTTGTCTCCTAAACCCAAGAACAGTAAGTATAGCTGTTAGTGCTTTTCACTAGAAGACCATCATCTATGTTATGAGGAATTTAGGAAAACAGTCACCTTGATCCTGTCCTCAGAACACACTACCTTTTTGGTCTACGTTCTGCTTGTTTCTTAGGACTGACACCTGGACAGCCACTACCTCCACAGCACAGTGACCCTAAGGTCCCGTGAGTGCTGATAGGGCAGAGACACATGCTAATCTTGGGGAGGCCCCATCCAGGAAGGAGGCCAGAGATGCTACTGATGGCCAGTGGTGGATAGACCATTGTCCCCAGTTCTTGTGAACTGAGAATAGCCAAGTGAGGGAGTGATCTGAACCACTCAAGTCATCACCTAGACCCTGGTTCCCAGCAGGGTTAAGCAAGCACAGCTGTGCAAAAGGCTCAGGGCGCTGGGGAAGTGCAGACCCCACCCAAAGGAAGTCCAAAAGGTCTTTTGATGGAGCAAAACAATACTCTGGTTAGTCTGTTGTAGGACCACAGGAAAAAATCTTGTTTGGGACCAAGGGGATTGGGTCTGAGTTCTGGCTACACCACTTTTCTGCCTTTCCCTCTCAGTTAGTGAGGACAGATTTGCTGAGACACACAATCAGAGCAACAGCAGCCACTTGTGGGAAGTAAGACAAGGAGGAAGGGGCCAAGAGACCCTCACAGGCCCTATGGTAACTGCAGGCAGCATAGGGCAGGTATGGGGAGGGGTCCTGGCAGGCTGAGCCATTAAGGCAGAGAGGCCATGGAAAGCCGCAGAAGTGGGTACTGTTTGCTCTTCATGCTCTGGTGTGCTGCCTGTACTCACAGCCGTGCAGAACACCTTGGAGTAACAGTAATACCACCTGAGCCCAACCCTGAGAGTGAAGAGGTCTGGAAACTGATCCAAGGGGCAGAGCGGAGCACCCTGTATGACAGTCAGGGTGCACATAATACTCCCAGTGACCTCACCTGAGTCACAGAACCACTCCTACACCCCAACATATATGCTTGGGGCCTCCCCAGGACCACCAGGAAGGAGGTGCTGCTGGCTTTCTTTTCCTGGAAACATGTCAGGGCCAAGGTGAGGATGTGCTAATCTGGTCCTGGAAAGAGGTGGGCAAAGTGGAGTTCTGCCACTGGGCTGCTGACTCCTGGGCCTGTTGATTTCACAATGATGTGGCACTAGCCACATCTGAGGCCAGGACATGCCCTGGTGGTGCTTCCTAATCTGGCAGCACCAGGTGGCCCCGGGACCAGAGCAACTAGGTCATGGGGCTGGTACAGGATCGGGGCATACCCAGCTTCGTGTCCCAGCTATGCCATAGGATAGCTCTGGGAGCTCCTGAACTTTGCTGAGTGACTGTGTCTTCAGCTATGACACAAACCATCACCGGACTGGTCGGCTTTTGGGAGGACTAGGAATCAGGAGTAAAAGTGACTGAACAGACTGTGGCACCAGTGGGTGCCAGTTCTGGCCTTCTGTTCAGCAGGGAGAGACACAATGTAGGCTGACCAGGAGCCCCCTTGTCCACAGCTACCCCATCAGGCTGCACTGACAGCACAGGCCTTGTTCCCATTTGAGAAGCACTGGACCTGCCACAGAAAGCCCTGGATAAAGTATACCACTGTCACAGATGGCATCAGGCTGAATGCTGCAGAGTCGACCACTAGCCACAGATTTGTGTGGCTGTCATCCTCACTGCAGCCTGAGCCCAACTCCTTACTAAGAAGCACTGCCTGTCCCTCACAGTGAGGGCTGGCACCTTACCCGCAGGGCTGTGGTGAACTGAGCTTCTGCGTTGTCCATGCAGTTGACGGAGACACAGTACAGGCCCTGGAAGAAGGAGGTGCTGAAGGCTCGTGGACTTGCCACTTGCCCGGGGCTGCACGGCTACACCTGGATAAGCCTGACTCTATGCGTCAGCTACACCTGAGCTAAAGCCCTGAGCTTTAGCATGCTGAGTTATTCCCTCCTCCCACGTCCTAAGTCAACTTGGACTCGAGGTGCCTATCAGAATGAAGTCCACTAAGAATATTCCAGATTCTGCCTTGGGCAATAGTCATGGGGTCACTCAATGGAATGGGGCTGGAGTGGGCAGTCCTGTATACTCACCAGCAGTGTGTGCAGCTGTGCTGCGTGGTTGGAGAAGAGCCGGGGCGACTGCTGGCACAGCTGGCAGACCTGGGAAATCTGCCGGGAGAACATGCCCAGTGTCACAGGACCTGTAACCTGGGACCCATTGTCCACATCTTGCCTGCCCTAACTTGGGTACAAAGTTCTGGTAGATATGCCTGCTGCGGGGCCAAAGGGCAGCCTTGACCTCCTTGAGGACAGTGGTTCTTGTCTATAACCTGTCTTCTCCCTTTCCAGAGTGTCTCGGCCATCACCACCCCTACCCTGCTTAAGGCCATGTGCCTTCTCAGCAAGATGGGCAGCAGGGGTTACATGGGGCAAGGAGGGGATCTCAAACCCCAGGTTCCATATTCTTTGGGCATATGAGCTTTTAGGGCAAGGCCCATTAATTTCTGTATCAGACTGTCTGATCAACTGTGCCCAAGCACAGTCACCAACTGCCAAGTTAAAGTGGAATGACACACGGATGTCCTGCTGATGTGCACTGGGCAAATGTATATTCTATGTAGTAACTTCTGAGACCTGGAAAACCCCAACCACCTGCCCTGGTTCTCCCACCCCATATGTGCACGGCCCCCAGAGACCTCACCTCCTGTAGTGCAGTGGCCTTGTGTCCTGTGACAAGCCTGCACATAATGATGTGTTCAAGCAAGATCACTTGGAAGGACGACAGGATGGGGCTGCAGTCGAGCACTGGAGGCGAAAGGGGAATGAGTACTCAGGGTGCAGCTGGAAAAGTGGAAGAGATGCTGACTCCTGGTCTAGCCTCTCACCACATGGACCTGTTTGCTACCAGGTCTGAGCCTACTTGCTCTGCTAGGCACCAAGCCAGGACCCAGGATGTCACTTGACTCATGCTCACTGCACCCTCAAGGAAGAGATTCATCTACCTGTCCAAGTGGGGAGATGGGCTCATAGCAAGTTCTGGTGACCAGAGTGTTATAAGAGTAAGAAATTCCTGGAGGGACTTGTTTTCCATCCTCAACCACAACAACCCAGTCACATGCTCAAAAACACTCCAGACATCGTGGGTTCTAGAATTGCTGACAGTCCCCAGGAGAATGAGACCATATGACAGCCTCAGGCACTAGTGGGAAGACCAGCTTCCTGGCTGTCTCAAGTGGATGTGCTCCTGTTGGAACTAGACAATGCAGACCTTTCTCAACATGGCCAGAGAGAATAAACTGTGATCCCCAAGGGCTTTGGTTCTCTGGCTGATGGCTCATCCCCTAACAGAGTTGACAAAGGGTACATGGACTGGATAAGCAGCTTAACGGGGACACTGAACCAGAGCTCTGGGTTCCTGGTAGTCAACGGTCCCTGGTCCCAAAGGATAGATAAGTCAAGCATCCAGGAAGAACCCACAACCTACAGGGCATCTGCTGTCAGTTAGCAAGAGCCAAATTCAGATCTCAACCTCACACTGAGCACAATCCATGTCACAACACTGATAATAGCAGCCACCCCCATTTCAATCCAGGTAGGATCTGGCTAACTACTGCAGCTAACTTTGTAGTGGGATGGACAGGACAGAGAGGGCATGAGACCCCTAGCCAGGGATCAAAGGTCAAGCTCAGGCCTGGTCTCCTCTGCCCTGACCCCAATTCACCCTCATTTGCCAACTAGGGTAACAAGACCCACGGGGAGGGACTCATGGGGACTGTTTGGCATTGTAGTCCTTCAGGCTCAGCCTGAGGCAATCACTGGACCACCCACCAACGGGTGCAGTGACCACACGACCCACCCAGCCCGACTTACTCTTGAGTTTCTCCAGCTGCATAAGTGCTTTGTCTGTGTACTTCTGCGCCTTCTCTAGATAGCCAGCCTGCATGGAGTGCATCACAGTCACCTGGCAACAAGACCAGAAGGTAGTGGTCACTAGGGCCCTCTCCTCACCCATCTGGCCCCCAGCTTCAGCCCTGGGGACTCACCAGGTAGACAAGCACACACATGTGTTCCTTGGGCAGCCAGTGGAAGAGGTCAGCAGGGTTGCTAGGCAAGATCTCATCATCATGCAATGTGGAGATGGTCTGAATACACTGCTGCAGCTGCTTCAGGCATGGCTTCACGCTCTTTACCTGCAGAGGGAGGGTGGCACCACAAACCTGAGCGCCTATCTGATCTCAAAAGGCTCTAGCTCACCAGCCCCTTCTTCTCAAGAGCTCCCACTATGCCCACTACCTGCAGAAAGCCTACCCCTAAATGGGTTTGGGGCATGGTCATGAAGGTCATCTGTGGAACTAAGGCTCAAGCTACCACCCAGTGCTGGGCCCAACACCAAGGACAGGGAGAGGCCTATCTAAGAACCTGCATGATTACACTTCCACCTTCCAATAGTGACCCTGAGAGGGCAAGACAGGGGTAGGGAAGCCAGCAGTCAACCTTGGGGGCAAGAAGTGGCCTCCTGGGCCCAGGAGCCCTACAGGTGCTGTGCCTTGTACAAATTGGCCTCTGCATACTAGAAAGCCCTGTACTAAGGTCCCATAGGACATGTCCAGAGCACCCCATGAGTTTGCTGTGTTCCTATACATTGAGCACAGCAATTGGCCCAGAAAAAAAGCAAATGTGGGCACAGGTGGGGGAACCGAAGCAGTCCCTTCCCAATGAGAGGCTTGCCCAGTACTTTTGGGGGTTCCACCTGTGACCTCCTGTCAGCTGAGGCTAGGCCTATGGGCAGTCACTGGGATGGGGTGGGGTGAGGTGGATGGATAGCACCTCCCAAAGGCTGAGATGTTCTCCCACAGAGAGCACAGCATCTCCTCAACTACAAGGGGATCATGGAGTCAAGTCTTGGTCAGAGCTGATGCCGTCAGTTCCTACTCAAACCCCACAATGCTCTTATCAGATGAGGGTGGTGGAAAGACACTGCTTGAGTACATGCTGTGTGTCAGGCACCTTGACAGAATCCTCATGGTCTATTATTGTGGAAATGTATGAGTCCATGACTACTCCCACCATGAGGACGGGCCACTCTCAGGGCACCTTCTACCCTCAGGGGCACAGCACTCACGCCAGAGCATGACAGAGTATATGGAGAAGTTAAACCCTGAGTGAGATGCATTACATGGTGAGGGACTGGAGGCAAAAATAGAGTGCGTATCTCAGTCCCAGGCCCTCCCACTGACTGCTTGCTCTCCACAGCCCTACCGTGGGAGGCACTACATACCTGCCCTGCATCCAGGTAGTGTGTCACCTGGAGCACCAGGAAGAAGACACGTAAAGACTCCTTCTGGATGGGGTTCCCCTGCCAATTCTCGACAATCTGTCCACAAAGGGTCAGCAGCGGGTGGACTTCCTGCAACTTGCGCTCCATCAGCAGCAGCTGGGGAAGGGGGGGGAGGCACAGGCACAGGCACTGAGAGCCCCTCTCAGTGCTCAAGGCCACCATCTGCTTGCCCACCCACTGGGGGACTGGTGGAACCATGCAGGGAGGGTGAAAAGCCAGGCTGGAACCCGAGTCCAGGCTGCTCCTTCCTTAGCCAAATCACACAACCTGGGTGAGTTTCACCTCTGAACCCAGCTCGAACACAGGGGCCTCACTCTTGTGGCTGCCTGCAGTGCTTAGGGGTCTGGGTGCCCACAGAGTTGCACCACAGTGAGGAGAAGCCCTGCCTCATGTCTACCACACCAGCATCATTCTGCTCAGCCTCAACTTACCATCCCTTTGCTGAGCAGGAAAAGCGCCCTGGAAAACAAAGAGGGGGAGTCAGTCTGCGAGGTTCAGGTGCCTCCTGGGATGACTGCCTCCTGGGATGACTGCCACCCCAGGTGGGTCAATGTTCACAGTGACCAAGAAGCAACCCAGGGAGGTGGCTAAGCAGATGACAGTGGCCCCCACCTGCCCCCAACCAGGCTGGTTTTATTTACAAGACTGTTCTACTTTGTTGTATTTGATCTTTACATTTTTGGCCTAATTGAGACACTCATGTGGCTCAAAAGCCCAAAAGGCATACACAGATGCTCATAAAGCAGGGAAGGGCATAGTATAGGACAGCATGCTTGCCATAATCTCACTCTTGCTGATACAACATTAGTGGACAGCAGAGGGTGTGGAGTGGGCTGGTCTGTGTGTTTGAACCCAAATCCACACTTCGCTGTGGCCCCTATGTACCTCTTCTCCCTCACCTGTGACTGGCCAACCCCCCTTGGGTTCTCCCGAGTGTTAAAGGGATGAACTTGGGGAGCTCTGGACACATTAGCAGCCTCGCCACCCACTGTTTCCATCTGCAATAGCCAGCAAGGTTAAATTTCTATCGTCTCTCTTAAACCTTTCAGCACTTTCTAAATGTGTGTGCACTGCTGTTATCACCAACAAAAATAATAAAATGGGCATGTTAAAATGTTTAACAAACAGCCAAAACAATGGGGGAGGAAGCCAGGGAGATGGTCACTGCCTTCAGGAATAGCTGTGGTCAGGCAGAGTCCACAGGCCCTAGTCTACTCAACATCTTAGTCTCTGTTCCACCAGCCTTGGCAGATTCCCTGTGTGCTGTGGTCAACACCCCATGAAGTGGGCACTTTTCCCTATTTTACAGGTGAGGAGAGTAAGGTGGGGAGGTCAAAGTCACACAGCCTTTGAGATATCTCTTCTCCAAGGCCTCCAAACCCTTGCCTATTTTTACCTTAGGGTGTGAACACTCTAGGTCTACTTGCCTGCTGTTCAACCGTTGAAACCTAAAGCTTGGAACTTCACACCAAGGTTCCTATGTTGTCACATAGGAAGCACTTGTTCAGAGGCCCTACATCAATGGTTGGAGTTCTGGGCCCTAAGCCCTGGTGCAGCCCATCTAAACTGCCCACCCACGACAGCATGGAAACCTGTCTGGAGACACTGATGTGTGAACATGCAGTGTGTGGCTGTCCCTGTGCCCTGCAAAATGTGTCAACACAAACCCAGTGATGGCTGCAACATAAGGGGGCCAGGAAGGGCCAGGAATGTGAGGCCGGATTGTGTCACAGCTGCCATCTCAGGGCAGGGTTGCTGAGGGGTAAGGACAGCCTATGGAAAACTGTGTTTCCACATGGGCACTTACAAGTCTACAGCTCAGAGAACAGAGTTGGATACTATTTTGTCTCAGCAACTCCATGTGACAAGCTCAGCTCCATGAAATGTAACTTTCCAGAACCCCAGTGCACACAACAGAACATGAGCACTGCTACCTAAAGTCTGTCTAGTGCAGAGGATTCTTCTCTTTAGGGGTGAGAGAGACTAGAGGCCTTTACAGAGGGTGCACAGTGAAGCTCCTGTGGCCTCTGACCCCTGAGCCCCAACCCCAGGGTACAAGCCTCCAGATGACCTAAGCAGTTTCATGTATACCATGAACCTATGTCCCATTTTATACAAACATCTGCTTATTCCACTTACTGTGTCTGTTGTGTATCTAAAAGCTCCCAGGCATCCTGAGAGGGACACTGGAGTAACCTTAAGTGCTGCCAAACACACGGGGCACCCCCTCTGAGGGCACAGCTCTCACATCTGTACCACACAGGGGATCAGCCCAGCAAATTTACAAGCACTTTTTTATTTCAAGATACTTAGGTACAGCCCTGGTTGAGTGGCTAAGTTGGTTAGAATGTCATCCTGTCCACCAAAAGGTTGTGGGTTTGATTCTCAGTCCACGCCCATATCTAGGTCATGGGTTCAAGTTCTGGTTGGGGTACATAAGGGAGGCAACAGATCAATGTCTCTCTCACATTTATCTCCCTCCCTCCCTTCCCCCCTCTCTAAAAATTAATGGAACATACCCTTGGGTGAGGATTAAGAAAAAGAAAAAAGATACTAGGTATGTGTAAATGCCAATTATGCTGAGAATGCCAGCTGTCCCTCATTCTCAGTCAACTCTCCAACCATACAAACTGATAGGATGAACTGATGAGGTAAAAGGCATCCTGGTGGTACCTTTAATCTGTACATCTCTTACTATGTGTGTAGGTGACCACTGTTTCATGCTGAAATGTTGACTGGATTTGTTGCCCAGGACCAAACAGCCAAGCCCTTTACAAGTAAGAGAGGAATGTGGGGAAAGGGTGCCTACCGTGTGTACTCAGATCCCACCACCCGTGCATACTCGGCTCCCACGCCTAGGAGGTCACAGGCTGACACCAGGTCCTTCTCAAGCGTGTGCAGTTGCTAAAAGGGACAAAGAACAATAATTCTTGCTTCCAAATCTCTTGCTTTATAGTACTTAGTACATGACCTTCACGCTTTGTTGGAGAGTTTAAGTGACCCTCCCCACCTGTCAACAAAATTGCCTCAGTGTCAGTCTTGAGCTATATTAACCAAATCATGTCATCAGTGTTGACTGCTTTGGGTACAGAACTCTGTTCTGTCCACAGTGCACATTATCTAAACTTAATGGTGCATAAAGGCAGCAGTTAATGCTCACGGGCATAGACTCCCAGGACTGAATGAGTGTGTCTCTGTGCTTTGCAGGTCACCTTCAGGGGCTGATCACTAGAAAGGAACCAGAGGCAGCCCAAGTGATAAGAAACTCCTTCAGGGACAAGTGTCTGCAGGAGTTTCAAACCCAGAAGCCTTAGCAGACTAAAAGGAAGGGATACTGTGGGACCTCAGTTGAGCTTGGGCTCCCAGGTGCATGCAGCACCCTCCAACTCTGTGACCTGAGACAGGAGCCTCATTGCCTGGCCCACTCTATCTGCCAATGGACAAATCGTACACGGAAGGATTAAAGGAGGCAATGCTGTATGGGACAGCAGTAGGCCAGGGGGAAGAGCTTGGGAACACCGGCTAGGTGAGCTCTTCCCAGCAGGGACCCTAAATCACATCCTTTTCAGATAAAGGGTTCCCATGGGGGTTGGGAGGAATAATTCCAACCAAGGGCCCATGACATGTACACACAGGCAGGTAATAGGAAGGTAGGCAAGAGGCAGTATGCGGGGCAGGCTGCTGGGTCAGGAAGAGGAGAGGGTGGAGATTGGCAATGAGAGGGGAAACGTGGGCAGTGTTCAGGACAGAAGAAACACCTTTCAGAGTGGAGCCAACTCACCCCAGAGCCTTCAGGCCTAGTCACTGCGGCCAGGAAGGCCCAGTCCAGAGATCCCCATCTACCTGAGCATCCCAAAGCACTGTGACCACGGCACTACTATGTGTGGAGAGCTGAAAGGTTACTGAGCGGGACTATGTGGAACCCAGATGAGGCAGTGTCCCAGGTGTTCACTGCCCAAGGGGCAGCCTCTTGGAATCTCAACACAGCTCTTAAGAAACATTTGTGGCAAGAAATGATTCTCAAATTTCAGTGAACACAGGCCATATGGAGAACCAGGAGGGAGGGGAATGCAATGATAAGGCAGAGTCAGCCAACGGGGAGAAGGGCACTCCTACCAATCACCCGATGCTGCACAAAAGACCTGTGTTGGAGTTACTGCTGAGGATGGAGATTGGAGGGGACTTGTGAGCAGGCTAACTAATCATCCCTGTGTCCCCATCCTCTTGGTACAGCAGCCTGAGGAGGGCCTGTGTGTCTGTTGTCTGCCTTTATTGCAGTTAGGTGGGTGTGCCCCAAGGTCACAACCCCATTTAGCAGCCACGAGTCTTGGCCAGGTCCACAGTACTCACAGCAAGCTGGAAGAGGAGGCGGCAGTGCCAGTAAGGCGTCTGCTGGGAGATCTGGATTGCTTTCCTCAGTAGTGGCTTTGCTGCATCGACAGAATTCTGAAAGGCAACGGTCACAGTTAGGGTGGAAAAGAAACAAGCTGGCAGGCAAGCTGGATTCCTTATGCAGCAGCTGGGGTGCCAGAAGGCCACTCCTGTTCACACTTACCAAAAGATTTGTGGGTTACTGATTTACTTTATTAAAAGAAAAAAAGATATTTTATTGGACTCACTGGCTGGGAGGTTTTTGCACTGCTCTTAAAATAACTCATTCAACTAAACTGAAAGTAGCTTTAGTACAAAATCCTAAACAGTCAAATTAGATGACAATCGCCACCTTTCTCATTCTACAAGACAGATGAGTGTGAAGCACGCAGTCCCTGCAGCCCAGGGAGCCTCACAGGCTGCTGCTCAAAGAGGGAAAAGGTGATTTTCAGGTACACCTGAGATCAGGAACCAAATTAAGAAGATAAACTATATGGATAAACTATATTAGTCCAGGAACTAATCATCTTACCCTAAGAACAAGGCTGTTTTCCTTTCTAAGTCATAGAAAAATATTCTATTGGTCCTCATGAAAAGTAATCACTCAGAGCTGCCCAAAGCCAGGGTACGGAGGAAGCATTAAAAGCCAGGAGGAAGTCAGTCTACTCCTAAGAAAACCAATTTGCCATTGTGCCTTCACTACAGGGGGAGGGACTCTGCTTTCAGAAGCCACAGGTTCTTACCTCTTGACAGTATAATTCAGACAAAAGACTTGCTGCTTCAAATTTAACATCTTCAAACTGTGGGATCTAGTGACATCTGGTTAAGGAAGTACAGATGTTGCTAAAAGGTCAGTTTAAAAGGAAGCAAGCAATGGGGTTCTTACACTGTAGCAGTCCGCCAGTCAGGTGTATCCCCCTGCTCTGAAATCCTAAGTTCACGTATTCCCCCAGCAATCCCTGAACTTGCTGCTGGCCAGATGTGGAACTTGATGCCAGGGCTTGAAGAGGAGCATGGTACCCACGGAGAGGCTGCTGGTCTGGAGGGGCAGCTACAGCTGAGCAGGGATTCTTCAGGTGGTCTGTGGGGCAAGACCTAAACCTGCGGGGTGCATCATAGCAGGAATTCAAGTTTATAACACACTCTTTTTATTTAAACAGAGCATTTCTTAAAGGGAACAGCACCAAGAAAAGGATACTTGTTGTGATATCAACCACTGAAAAAGAAAGAAAAAAGTATTAATTCTCAGCTAAATGCTCCCTAGCTCTGCTTTGGGGGTTACAGATTGTCCTGTCACAAAGACCACAGGTGTTCAGGTAAATGGGAAGGTGATCTATTGGCTCATTTCCTGCTAATTTAGCAACCAGAGCATGCCTGGGAGAGAGGGAAAAGCACATGCTCCCTTAGTAACAGGATCTACCTATCCCACCAGGCTCCTGAGTTCAGGTCAGAGCCCCCGACTCCCCAACTAGGGCTACAATGCTTTAGGAGGGGAAAAAGTTCAGAGGGATCCTCACATGCTACTCATTACAGTATCCTGACAGCAAATAATGACATATGAGTAAACAATTACAACTGGACAGTGTATCTGGGGGTGTCAGTCCCTCCTTGAGAAGTGGCGTTTCAAAGACACTTGGAAATGACCAAAGTTAGCCTTAGAGGGGAGGGAGGAAAGCTCCAGGAAGGAATTGTGGGGGCAGCACCAGGCCAAGAGACTGTAGAGATGATTCTGTGACCTGAGCTTGTGGCGCCTCTGCTGGCACACATGCAGGATGTGGTTCAGACAATGTAATGCTCCCATTTGGGGACAGTTGTGCCCTTGAGTTCCACATTCCAAAAGGAGATAGTGAGGCGCCAGGAGAGTCCACCACACTGACCATAGTCTGTCAGACCATCCAGGACTCAAGCATTCACTCAAAACTTGTTCCACAAATATTCTCAGAGTTCTTGTGGGTGTCTGAAGGCAGATCTGGAGCTGAACACAAGACCCTGATTTGCCATGCTCTGTGGGAGAACAGCACAAGGGGTGTGTGTGTGGGTGGGTGGGTGCACATCGGGGGCTGGGGTATGTGTTCCCAGGTAAAGGAGGAGTGGGAGGTGCTCTTCACAGAGAAGAGCCTATAAAAAGGCAGAAATCCAAAAAAATAAGGCTGGAAGGTATATGTGCCACTCATTGGCAGCGGGGACTATGGGTCAGAATGCCCTGATGACACTCATTGAGCCTGACCCAACAGAGGCATAGAACAAAAGCACTAACCTGGCTGGTGTGGCTCAGTGGACTAAGTGCCGGTCTGCAAACCAAAGGGTCGCTAGTTCAATTCCCTATCAGGGTACACGCCAGGGTTGTGGACCAGGCCCCAAGTTAGGGGCACATGAGAGACAACTGCACAATGTTCCTCTCCCTCTATTTCCCTCTCCCTTCCCCTCTCTCTAAAAGTAAATAAATAAAATCTTTGTAAAAATTAAAAAGCACCTAATGAGATCTGAGTTTTAAAAGTATCCTAGCTTTTTAGCATTTAAGATATTGAGGCAAGGATGTGGTGGGTCCTCTGGTGAGAAATTCTGGATTCCCTGGGTCTTCCAGTAGGAGCCCTGATCAAGTGTGCTAACAACACAGGAGCCAAAAATTTGTTTATCATCTCTGTGAAGGGGACAAAGGGACAACTGAATAGACTTCCTGCTACTGGTGTGGATGACATGGTGATGGCCACAGTTAAGAAAGTTAAACTAGCCCTGGCTGGTGTAGCTCAGTGGATTGAGTGCACGGGCCTGCGAACCAAAGGGCTCCATTCTCAGTCTGGGGCACATGCCCAGGTTGTAGGCCAGGTCCCCAGTAGGCAACCACACACTGATGTTTCTCTCCCTCTCTTTCTCCTTCCCTCCCCCCTCTCTAAAAGTAAATAAATAAAACCTTAAAAAAAAAGTTAAACTAGAGCTCAGAAAGAAGGTACATCCAGTGGTGGTAACCGAACAACAAAAGTCATACCAGAAAGAAGATGGTGTGTTTCTTTATTTCAAAGAGAATGCAGGGATGACAGCAAACAACAATAGGTGATATGAAAGCTTTTGCCATGTAGCAAAGGAGTGTGCAGGTTTTTTGGCCAAAATTGCATTCAATGCTGGCAGCGGTATTTGTAAAACAAAATAAAACAAAACAACATTAAAAGTTATTCCCACACTCCCAATAAAGAATATCCTAGATGCACCAAAGAGAATGCAGAGGGAGGAAGAAGCGGAGTCAGAGGCTGAAGGCCTTAGGAGCTGCTGGCTGGGAAAGTGAGCAGAGCTGGGGCAAGAGTGAGTGGTAGAGGAGGAAGTCTGAAAAGAGACTAGGAAAGACTTGGAACTGCATCCCCAATCAGCTGCCTGAAAGATACAGGTGGGCCAGGAGGGGGAGCTATGGGAGAACGCACACCCAGTACTACGGATTTCTGCCTCTTTCCCACACATGAAGAGAAGCGCATGTGTGGGTGCGCACACACAATACACACACGTGCACACGTGTGTCTGTGAAGTCCAAGCAAAAGGCACTCCGCAGCTAACATGAGTATCCCCTCCCAAAACTCCACTGCAGCAGGCTCAGAAGGGGCTCAGGGTCCCCAGAAGGCAGGGCCAGTGCCTGCTGTCAGGAGTGAAACCTCAGAGGCGAGGTTCCTTAGCTGGAGGCTGTCTACAGAAACAGTGGGGACAGGCCCAGCTTCAGCCATATATATGTGATGTCATAAAAGTGGTGAACACTTAAGTTTGGACTTGCTTTCTACAGAAGTGACTCCTCCTCATGGGGAAGAATAGTCCAGCAAGAAAAGCTCCTGAAGGCCACCAAACAGAAGAAAGAATGGGGATACCATGGAGGAAACCATGTAACTGAAGAGCTGGGCTAGGGACATACTGAGATCTGGCCCAACCCCAAGATTCAGTGGTCCCACAACTTAATCTCCATGGGCAAGAACTACCTCAGGCAAGGTGTACAGGCAGGAGAGGAGGCCTCTAGCAAGAGTACAGGGTGTTTAAAGAGAATGCAAAGGACACACACAAGGACAGAACTGGAGGTGTGGACCTACACAGAGGAGCTGGATCCTAGTAGCGCTTAGTTATCTGTTTCCAGGATCACAACCTTACATTCTCTTATACATGTGCTGTGTCCCCACTACAAATACCTCCTCATGGTGCTGTATCCCCAGTTCATGGAATGGTCCAATGCACAGGAGGTGCTTAGGAAACATTTGTCACATGAACAACAATTATCATTTAACATCACCAGGAAATGAGAGCTTTCTTATGTGCACATGGCACAGAACTGAAGCTTACAACTTTCAAACACAAATACCTATCTCTTGAATGACATCAGGTACCTCCCTACAAAAATCACTACTTTGGATCCAGGAATCAGCATCAGTGACTCCTTGAGCCATCCCCCACAATGACCCAGTTCCAAAGCTAGGGCTACAGAACTGGCTCAGTGTCAGGGCAAGTCAGTCACTTCCTCAAAACTGTCAGACACCAATCAAATGATTTCCCTTTTATATCTTTTTAACACTTGTAACATAAAATCACAAATTGGAAATATACAAACATCAGAAATATATGCATCTCACAAATAATGTACCTTACCTAAAGCTGCTAATTCATCTGCATGTTTTTCTTTGTAACATTAAAAAAAAATAAAACAGTTGTTATGTTCCCTTCCTGATGAAAAAGCAGCTAAAGTGGGAGGCCTGTAGGCATAGATAGGGCAGATGAACAACCCTACCAGATGTCTCTAGGGTTACCTTGGGGCTCTCAGGGAAAGCAAGTACCCTAAGGGGTGGAATGGCCCAGATCAGCACATCTCTAGCGCTTAGAGGATTCAATCCAGGGCTGAGAGCATTTCAAGGCTTCTCTGTACCTAGAAACCAAGTTAACTTTTTTTTTTTTAAGATAGGTTTTATATAACCAAAATGCGTAGAAATAGTTACTGACTGCAACTTCTTTGGGACGAAGCATAGCACTTTAGGAGCCTGTCTTGCCTCTCTCTGCTGTGTGACAATGTTTACAAGCATCCCCCCTATCAGTGGCAAGTTGGAAGAGGTCTCCACCTTGTGGGTTTGTTGAGGATCCAATGAGACAGTGTCCAAGAAGCATGAATGTATGGTTTGGCATGTAGAAAGGACCAACAATAAAATGGTAATTCCCAGGCAGAAACCAGAAGAATCTGCGGTTGGAAGGGAGGCAGAGGGCGTGTTGGTGAAACTGTGAAGTTACAGTTCCTAAACAAATTTCAAATCGTGAGGTCAGAAGAGAGTCAGAGAGCAAAAATGAAGAAAATGGAAATGAAAATAGGAGGAAGCACAGAACACTCTTCCATGAAAATGTGTTAACACCAAGCTCTGTAAATGCAGGTTCCGCACAAGGTTCTACTCCTGGTCAATGGGGCACAAAATTTAGCAGGACACAGCCATGATCCTGAAGTACGACAGATATGCTCCAGCTGTGCCTCATGATAAAAGGCTCATCACTGACCCCTCTCAGACCTTTAAGAGATAAAAGGAAGCATTTAATTACTTGCTGGGAAGGTAAACCAGAGACTATGAGGCTAAACCTGGAAACAGAATTAACAACTGTCTAGACAGCACAGTTTGGAGCTACTTTCTAAGTCAGATGAGCAAAACCACCACTAAAAAGAAGCTCTGTTCCAAAAGCAAAGAGAAAGTAAACACAGTGTTAACATGGATACTGCGGTCAGAGAGACCACTATATGTTAGTATGACTGCTTAGATTATGGCGAATAATGAACAATTAGTCCAGAAAAGTGGCATTTATTTCTCTGTGGCTCTTAAATCAGAAAAAGTCTAAGATGACGATGTACTTTTCAGGCCAAGGGATAAAGAGAAATATGACAAAAAGTTCAGGGGGAATGTGCGAATTACTGAAACGGAAATGTCTGCTTGAAAGGAAGTGTGAAAATAAGAAAGGCTGAAAGTTCACAGAGGAAAAGATATATAGTGAGAGGAAAAATAATAAGGTGAAAAGTAAATGTAAAGGAACACAATCTGACAGAAACACAGAAACAGTCTCACAAATTCTCTAGCCAAGAGATTTCTGAGTAAAGGGACATCCTTTACAATCACAAACTATTTACTGAAGGAATCAGAGCAGCCAAGAATTCTGACAACACAACCACATCACTTCCAAAACCATAGTCAAAAAGGAGGGCTCTCAGGTAAAGGGTCCTATCACACACCATAATAGTTACAGGATCTATTGAGCAGACCCAAGGAATGAAGCAGTCGGCAGGGGCTTCAAGCATCTGCAGAAGCAGGTGTCATGGAGACCAACAGTTTCGACCTGAGGAAAGGGATAAACACCTTCCATACCTCTGATGGGAGCACTTGACAGATGATTCTTTCAAAGCTGGTAAAATTAATGAAGCAGATGCAGAAGTTTATTACATATTCCTTCTATAGAGCTTGTAAATACAGTTGAGGAAGCAGTTCTAACATTAAGCAGGTAGAAAAGTAAATAATCTAAGTTTATATTTAAAAAGTATGATTACCAAGGAAGTTAAGGTCTCTCAGAGAGCAAATAAAAGACGATGACAATAACAAAGATTGAATGTAGTACTGACTTTAGAGGCCAATTAAAAAGTTTTATCTATAGCACTTTTAAGTTAGAGAAGTTAATTCAGGAAAGAACAGCAGGGGGAATAATCAGGGAGAAAATTGTCACAAAACAGTCGAGTTATTTACCTCTTTAAAAACTTTTTTTTTTGTTTGTTTTTTTTGTTTTCGTTACTCTGGGTTGACTCCCTGAAAAGAAATTGGAACCTCTTTGATCATTTGCTCTTCAGGACTAGAAACCAGCAAAACACTTCTAAAAAGAGAATATGTTATAATTCTTTATCAAGTGAGTCTGGGAAAGGAAAGAATAAAAGTTGGTAGCTTCCTGATTTGGGACAAATGCGCAGCTGGTAACAATTGAAGATTAAAGAAAGCATGCTTGAGACCCAGACCCTGGCTGGTATAGCTCAGTGGATTGAGCAAGGGCCTACAAAACCAAAGGGTCATGGATCTGGTTCCCAGTCAGGGCACATGCCTGGGTTATGGGCCAGGTCCCCAGTTTGGGGCACACGAGAGGCAACCACACACCAATGTTTCTCTCCTTCCCTTCCCCTCTCTCTAAAAATAAATAAGATATTTTTTTTAAAAAAAACAAAGAAAGCATGCTTGAATTGCAACACAAAAGCACATCACAAACATTGCAGAAGGAAAACAGCATGGATAACTGCACTTCAGCTGAAATGTGAACACATTCCCAGCAGGGGATGCAAATGACTGAAAGAAAAGGATTCCCAGGTATAAATAACATCCGTGTGAACTATGGAGAAAATCTTGTGGCTAAGTGGAAGACCCCACAAGATTTAGGGTTCTGTAAAATTGAAAAGTATATCTCCAAAAGCCAAGTGGCTACAAAGAAGCAATCTGAGGCATGACTGCTTCCCTTCAACAGTAGTGAGTGACAAAAATGCAACCACACACACAGTGACGGTGAACCACTGCCAGAAACAATAGCTTCTGAGACAAGGGAAGGGAGATAGCAGGATTTGTTGTTTATGAAGGGAAGGGAGAACTTCAGAACTGGGCCATTGGGCCCCCAGACTCTAGAAGTCACAGCCCCCAGTCACCCCATGCCTAAGGAAGCCTGGTGCTTCATTTGATCGCAGCCTCATCACTACCCAGAAGAGAATCTGACATACACTAGTAATGGGCCAGTGACAGCCTGGGCACTCCTTGGGAATCACCTGACAACCCAAGTGATTCTCCAGGCTCACTTCCTCCACCACATTTAAGGCTTTGCTCAAATAGAGTTATCTCTACCAAAAGTAGCTCCCCATCAACTCCACCCTTTCTCCCTGGTCCATGTTTTTTCATAGTTTTTCTATCATTACCTCTTACTACGTATTCATTATTTGTCTCTCTCACTAAAACATAAGTTTATGTGGATAAGGACTGTTTTAGTTATTGCTGATCCCCAGCACTTGGAAGAGGGCTTGGAACCTGGTGTGAGCTGAATAAACATGTGCCAAAAGACTGAAAAAAGATACAACTGCACAAAACAATAACAATTTATTGTCTTGGCAAAGAACCTGGGATCTTTAAGCCTGCATTCGAGCCCAGTTTTGTTAGTAACTTGCTGTGTGGCTTTGGCCAAATCACTTTACCTCTCTGAGTCCTTACAGTCTTACTGCTGAAAAAAGAAAGTTGATCAAGCAAAAAGTAAAGTCCCTTTCCAACTCTTTACAGTATGCAAAACAAAGATCTGCTATCTTCCCAAAGGCAACTTGTTACCAGCCACCCATGGGTTCTGATTTACCTCAGAGCAATACATTTAAAAAATCGAAGTCGATTCAAGAAGTTGCTCCTTTAATCAGAATAAAAGAGTAAATGGCAAATGAAGGCATTGTCTGACAGGAGTCCAGTGTCGCTGTGAGAAGAAAAACTCTACAGCCGGATTCTTTGAAGCACGCACCAAGATCTCACGAGTAAAAATAGCGGGGGTGTCGGTGAGGCCTGTCCTCTTAAGGGGATAGACTAGTGGGTGGTGGAAGAAAAAGAAGCCACCCACAAGGTGAACACAGAAAGCAAATAAATGCTGGGAGATTCCTCCCCCCAATCTCCACCACCGAGTAACTGGTCCTGGAATCTTGACCCCCCCTCCCCCCACCGCCCACACACACAGTTCCACCTGCTCGTAGGACCTCAAATGACTAACTCTAGGCTCTGGGCCGTTGACTCCCACCTGACTCCTTGCATCACTGATAGGGGGTCGGGCAATACCCTCCAGACACTTATCAGACTTCCGGGTCTGGGGAGGAAATGCTTTCCCAGGTTTTCTGAGACCAAACTTCAGATTCCCAAGGGATGCCTGGACTGTCACCTCAACCCTTCATTATCACGAGTCACTTCAGGAGGGAGCTTTCAGGCCGATACTTCCGGGGCTGAGCCCTGATAAAGTGGAAGATGCAGGACCCAGTGGCGAACTGGGGACGTCTCCATAGGCGCCAACAGGTCATCTCTTGAAAACCTGAGCAACTTGGGAATCCTATTCGTTCTCAGAAGAGCGGGGTCCTGGATCCTGCCTGTCACCACAGAAGTTAAATAACGTACTCGGCGAGGCCCTGGGGGGGTCCCCTAGATGCTGGCGGCTTCGGGATCCCGCCGCTCATGCGGAAGTCGCACCTCTGGTCCCCAAAGAGCGGCCTGGGCGGCCCTCGCCCGCCGCGGTCGCGGCCCGTCAGCTCGGGTCCCACAAGAAGCCCGCGCTCCTCCCTCGCGGCCCGGCCCGCGCTCACCGCTTTCTCCAGGTGGCTGCGCGCCTGCTCGCTGTTCTTGGTGTGGTGGTAAAGCACGGAGCCTAGCTGCAGGTGCGTACGGGCCTCGATGCGCTGTGGCGGCTTGAACGGAAACACAGCCTGCAGGCAGTGCACACACAGGCGGATCTTGGGCGGGCTAGACGTGCGGAAGTGCTCGGCGAAGCCCAGAAGTGCCAGGTACCATGACTCGGCCGCCTCAGCCTGTGCAGCCTGGGCCGCGGCCGCTTGGGCCGCTGCCGCCGCCTGAGCCGCCATTTTGGCCACCACAACAACAAGCCGTCGCCAGAGGGAGGCGGAAGCAGGCTCATGGGGCGGAGCCAACACTCTTTGCGTCTCTCGCGAGAGCTGCTGTGCGAAGCATCCTGGAACATGTAGTTTGTATTTGGAGTGGCTGCCACTCCCGAAGGCTGTAAGAAAAGACGACGTCTTTTGGTCCACGGGACTGAGAGCAGACATTACCAGTAGGCCCAGGTTTTTGTTCCTGAGAGGAAGGCTCCATGCGTCCCCGCAGTGTCAGGGCATGGATGGCCAACGGGGACTACATCTCCCATTAGGCCAGGCGCACTAT